GGGGGTAATTTAGCTGCTCATTGAATATGACCCACAAACACAAATGAATTAATTGATTAGTAATTGTAATTCGGCAGGTACGATACGCCTGTGCGACATGCGCGCCGCGGCGCTGTGCGACCGGCACGCGAAGCTGTTCGAGGAGCCCGAGGACCCGCACGCGCGCTCCTTCTTTTCAGAGATCATCTCCTCTATATCCGATGTCAAACTCTCCAACAGCGGCAGGTAATGAATGGTCTACAGGCGTTGCGAAGCTCTTTCAAGAGTTAGCTTTCATGTATTATCTCTATTCCCGTACGTCAAGCTTGTCAACAGCGGCAGGTAATGACGGATTTAAAATTGCGTTATGACGAAGTTCTCTTAAGAGGTAGCTCATTCTAATGGATGATCTTATGAATATCCGAAGTCCAAGTTCTCCAACAGCAGCAGGTAATTATTTAAACATGGTGCGGTGATCGTGGAGGGTATGCCAGCCATTTGACTTTTTTCTGTAATTTTTGTTACACTAATTAAAAAATAGGTAAAAAGAAAATTCTAACAAAGTATGAACTAAAAAAATATATGGTCGCACTCTATGTATAACTTTGTTACTCGATGTCCAGCTTTTCAAAAGCTATGTTACCTTACCTTAAATCTCAAAGGAGAGACGCAAAATTTGAAGAAAATGACATTACCATTTTTGGTGGCGTTATACAAGAAAGACACCGAACGGCGTTCGCATTTGCTAAACTCCTATGTGTCAGTTTGAATTACAAAGCTTTAATTTTAATATTTTTTTGTTTCAGATACATGATGTCGAGAGATTACTTAGGTTTAAAAGTATGGGATCTTAGGATGGAAACAAAACCTGTAGAAACATATCCAGTGAGTATATTTCTTAGAAATTCTTAAACTAACAATTCGAATACTGACAATGGGTAGGTAAGATGACAGAAGATTAGGTTGAGATTGCCTATTAAATCGAAGTAGGATAGAACGTAATTACCTTTTTCTTTGTCATAGTCGAATAGGTTAAGAATTGGTTTGAGAATAGACCTTTTTTAGTCATTTAAATTATTAAACAACATCATAAACGTTGCTCTGATTCCAAAGTAAGTAATTACATAATTTGTGTTATGAAAATTGGAAACGACAGTACCACAAACACCTAGACCCATTACAAAATAAAAAAGTTTGTTCTTTTACGGCCGGGTAACGAACCCGGAACGTCAAATATGGCGACACCATGAAAACCGGTATGCAAGCCATTCGACTACGGAGGACGTCAAAAATATTTGTTCTTTGTAGTAAGGACTATTTTCAAAATTTCTCCCAGAAGTTACTCTTTGGCATTGTTTTTCAAACTGTTGACTATGTCCGACTAAAATCTGCATTTTTGTAGGTACACGAGTACCTCCGGTCGAAGCTGTGCTCGTTATACGAGAACGACTGCATCTTCGATAAGTTCGAGTGCTGCTGGAGTGGCGACGATCAGCGTCTCATGACCGGCTCTTACAATGGTTTCTTTAGGTGGGTACCACTACTACGGTTACAGCTACTATTATGAATGAAACGCCTTACTCTTAAATGTTACAGTACCATTAACTGAAAATTTGGGCTTCGACAGTTATTCAGTTTGGCAGAGTTGGCGATTGCTTTATTTCAATGTATTATGTATAACGTCGTCTTAGACTGCATACTCCGTATGTAATTTGAATATACTTTTTCAAGAATTGTATTTAAATTAAATGAATTATACCCTGTTTGAATACTACATTACTCTAATAAAATACAGTTTTGCTTTCACAAAAAACCGTAGTTGAGTCGAATCGTAGTAGATGACGGCGATAAATAGGTATACTACATTTTACAAACAAGTCAAGCTCAAGGCAAGACGGAGAGGCTAAATAGCTCGGCAAAAAACTTTTTCCAGTTTGGCGAGTCTTCTGTAAAATGTGTAACTTAAAAAAATGTGAGTGTCGCCATGTTGACGTTGTCCACCGCGTGCGCAGGCTGTTCGAGCGCGGCACGGGCGGCGCGCGGCGCGGCGAGCTGACGCTGGAGGCGTCGCGCGACGCCGCCGCCAGGCCGCGCCAGCCGCTGCGCGCGCGCCGCGTCGCCACCACCGCCAAGAGAAAGAAGGTACACCTTTCGCCGTCTACAGTTATTCTCTTTCTTATCTTCTCTGCTCCGCAGTTGCATGCTGTGTTCATTTTTTTATACAAATGTAAGTGCGCATTTGACGTGATGGAAAGTGACGATGAGGTCGACGATGGAGCATACACACCTAAATAATGCCTATTCACTCTCGCCTTGAAAAGGTCCAAGTTATAACGTTCAGGGAACAAGTCTGCAGGCAGGGAATTCCACTCCATATCCGTTCTAAGTTACGTACGTTTCTGAATGTTCTCCGTCGACATCCGTCCGAAACAATTACTATAATAAAAGATGCATCATGCGAATGAAGCATCGAGTATATAACCAGAAATAAAGACGAAATATCATTTAATTTATTTGAAAACTATTCTGCCATACTGTTACTGTGACAACTGCGCTCCGATTGGCCAGCCCAAAATCGAAACAATTGATGGATGTCGTCAATGGGTGTTGTCAATTGTCTCACTTCAAATCGACCAGTTAACTTGAGCTTTGCTATAATGGACGAAAATTGCAAGATTACATATTTAATATTTAATTACCGGTGAAATTTGATTCCGTTTGTTTTATAGTTAGAGATGTTTTGCAGTTTTACTCCACACCACCGAATGGAACAGCACGCCATTGTTAGACATATTATCTTTATTACAATAAATACAGAATATTTTTGGAATATACGGAGACGTACACACAGGACAGTTGTTGGCGCTGTCTATATTTCAGTGCAAACGAGAGTTGATATTTATAAGTGAAGTATCACTGATGGGTTACAAGGAAAGTATGGCCCTTATTTCGTCTCTATTTCTGGTTATATACTCGATGGAACGAAGCTTCTTACTTGTCCTTTGATTTGGTCGAGTATTACTTAAATGACAATAATTGTTTCGGACGGAGAACATTGGACCAACGTGACAAACTATGACTATAAAATAATAATAAAATGTAATATGTATCTCAACTCATCAATAAATAATTTTTGAGTATAGGATGAGACTATAGTGATGTGAGATAAAAAGCCACCTCAGCCAAGTGGCGGAGTATGTACCAGCGGCTCTGATATTTAGCTACAACCAGCCCCCGTAGCATGGCTACGCATGATAGTCGCGATAAAATTGAAATAAGCGTAGCGTATTGGCTGTCTCAATCAGATCTAATTTAGATAGCCAATAGCGGGCGCTTATTTCAATTTTATCGCGCGCGTCGCGGTTTAATAAAAGATATATGGTCTTAAGATATTATCCACAAAAAAAAAAAAATCATAAATAGTATGAGCGTTTGCATACTGCATCCGATTTGTATTCTTTTCGAATCCGAGACTATTCAAATCTAGAAAACTCGACCCACTTCGGATGTCGCTTGTGTACTATGTCCGGTTCGAATCCCAGAAAATACGAATATCGCATGTACACCTTGAGATAAAATGATCCTTGTGACATACAATGTAATACTTGAGAAGTCTGGTATTAATTGGATTTCAGATCATATTATATATTCATAATAACTTAATTTCTAGGATGAGATTAGCGTGGACTGCCTGGATTTTAACAAGAAAATCCTGCACACGGCGTGGCACCCCCACGAGAGCATCATCGCCGTGGCCGCCACCAACAACCTTTTCATCTTCCAGGACAAGTTCTAGCCACCGCCAATGCCGGCCCTGGGGGACGCACATGTATCCTGATACCCAAACAAATTACAGGACCGCATTCAGGTTCCATTCCACGTATCATGTAATTTTCAAAATGGTGTCCCATTTCCATTTCGAAAGCGCGGATTTAGGGTCGTGATCTATATTCCATATAAGTTACCAAACAGCGTATTAAAGGTTCTAGTTAATTTTCAAACGCATTTTATAAAAGTTCCGGTAGACGCTCAGAAGACCTCACACCGATTACACTTGATAAAAGTGGCTCTTCTTTTCCAGAATTGTATAGAAATTCACTTATTACGGTTTCAGATATTATGACAAAGAAATGTATGTTAGAAACTAGAGAATTTGTTTAATATTGCATTCAAATATAAGCTTGAACATAAACGAATAGTGGCTTGAAATCATTGTGAGCAACGAAAAATAAATAAGAAAAAAAACTTTGTGGACTATTAGAAAACGTCCTAATACCGTATTCATTAAAGATTATTTTTAATTATACCAGAAACCTCTTGACACGTTATCACTATCATAGACACAATCAACTTTGGTTAATGTTAAGAGGTTTCGTGTTAATTATAAATAACCCTGTATGAGTATAAAGCTTAGTGTGCACTAAAATACCATTAATTGTCGCAAAAGCGTCCAAAACTCAGGATGAGTTCTAAGCCTTACCTTATAAAGTTTAAACTTACATGCGTCCTTCAATAAGGGTCTGTAAACATTAAAATGAAAGTGTCACTGCCAATAGGTCATTTGTTAAAAGCCAGACTAGGAACACAAAGTTCTGGGTACGATATTCATACTCTAGAAGTGTAGTTTTCTTGAATGATAAATTTATAGTGAGATCTTGTCATTGTGAAATTTCTTAACAAGTCTAATATCTCCCACTAACAATACACACGTTGTTAGAGGAGATATTAGAGTTCCAGTGCCGTCATTTCTGGGTTAACAGTTGTCGCCTTATTGCAATTTTATAGAGCGTATACGTTAGTAAATAAATACCCGTTAAGTTAAAACTATACGCGTAAAGAAGAGAAAGCAAATCGTCCTATGAAGGTTCAAATTCAAGCGTACTCAAGCATATATATGTACATGTTAGTCGTATTGACGTCATCTGCCCCTGTAGTATACCGGTAATATACTCGACAAAGCTATTATATCCACATTTAACTGTCAAATTCGAGTGATAATTTTAAAATTTTATCACAATAGCGGATATGGCGAGCACCGTGACGTCACTTTTTCATGTCATTGCGAGCGCCGGCGACCAACGACTGCAAAAGATTAACACAGTGCCAAACGTGGCTGCAAGGTCACAGCTCCTTTTAAAATATTTGCACAGTAATTTTACCAATCTAAAAATTGAGCGCGACAAACGAGATGAAAAGACATTTTTTGTTTCATGGTTTTCGCGGCGATGATTAAACGACAAAATGTCCTTGTTATTCAAAATTTATAACAATAGTTCATTACCGAATGAGCAAACTTAGATTTATCTACTGAATTAAAAATTGTCACGGGGAGGTTTATCACACATATTCTGCCATGCTACGGCCACTGATATTAATATATTGATGGACATGCTAGCTAACAAAGCATTCATCACGATCTCGTTGACTAACAGTCAGCAACACGGCTAATAGCTACAGCATTGAATGGGATCCTTTAGGCTTTGTAGAGCGTATAACGCAAAGGGAGCACTCTTGTATTCTTCATCAAGTTATATGTAGTACTATCTGCACGCTGCATGAGGTCATACGCTCAAAGCTCTTCGTCTCCAAGACCGAATATTACTTATTTCATAGTAATTGTTTCGGACGAATGCGGACGGAGACCGACAGTAGACCTCCTGGACGTTCTAACGTGGATGCAAGGTTTATTTTTTATCACCCATCGTCTTACGTAATGGCAAATCCTTTAAAAGTCTTAAGCCTGGAATGTCAGCTACACGATCTAACGTACAAGTAGTCAGATAGTGGAATATTGTGCCGATCATATCAAAACCAAATATCGACATCACATTATGCAGAAACCTATTGGCAGATACTACATTACTGTATTTTTATGCGTATTGTGACATATTTTATGACGAAATGGTAATTGGAACATTGGTTACCAAGCCAATCGTTTAAGAATACGTCTATTGATTCTATAGATTGGTATCTGTAGACGTATGTTTTAAAACTATAAATTGTCGTGTTTTACGAATAATGTCAAGTAAGCTTCCTGACTTTTAAATTATCATGTTTGTTGCAAAATACAAATGTTTTTTACCACGTAAAAGTATGCTTAATTATGCTCAATAAGTTAGGTAAAACAATTTAAATATCGTTTAGGACTGTGTCTGATTGTAGTACCGAGAAAAGATACATTTTCACTGCAAATTGTTGAATATAAGCTTTGGATATAAAGACACTTGTACATTTTAAATCCCAGTGAATATAATGCACATACCGTTTTAGCGACGTTTGAATTAGTCCATGTCACAAATTCTCTTAAAATATGTCGCAACACTAGTTAGAACTTACAATCAAACTGATATAATTTATACGCTTTTCATACTTAAGGTTCTAAGCGTAAAGTAAGTATTTATTAATGAAACACTTAACATAAGATGCTTGACTTGAAATGAGATTAGGTAGGATAATAAAAAATGTTGAAATAGCTAAATTGACGCTTCAAATGTATTCAATGTTCCGACTAATCGTGACCAAAACGAACCTGCGTATAAGACAGCACAATCATCTATAATTTCCAATGTTTACATTGAGTGAGCTACTTGCATATTATTAACGTACTCATTTAGTTATTGGGTAAATTTCAGGTTAGTTTTCTCTACCTAATTCCGGAGGCAATTTTTAATATTTAAGTATTTGAGTATATTATCGAGAAATATTAAATAATATTTCAAGAGACTAAACTCGAATAGTAAATAATAGTTGTTGTTAATAAAAATTGCCCCCGGAATTAGGTAGAAAAAGTTATTGCCCTTTACTAAAAGGGGCACTTAATATTTTTAAAATTTCAAACTGGACCAATGTTTTTTTTAATCTACAGAATGATTGCTTTTCTAGAAACGTTGTTCGTTTCACCCGAAGGACAGATAGGACAGATACTTAAACCATTTTCCAATTTCGCAGATATTTTTTAAACTACAGTTACACGCAGAGGTGTAATTTTATGAAATGTCGTACACTTGGAGCGTCAAAATAAATCGGTATTAATAATTTTTACTGAATTTATTAATATCGACTAACAAGATCGGGTTTTGAACCATTTAACTTAGAATAGAAAAAATAAAATACAAAAACCTCTAAAAGACTCTAAGTGAATGGAAAATAACCTCATACGTAAATAACCTAACGCGTTCCCGTGGTATTGATTTAGTAGGCTCTCGAACCTTACCATATATGTAATGGTTTTGTTACTTTATTTATTATTTTATGTACTTTGTGATTGTTTATCAAGTGAACTCAAATCGGGACCGATGATGGTATCCCGATGTGTTTGTTTTTTGAGAATGTTAATTTGTCTTGGTGGAATAATGAACTTGACAAGAGCTGCAATGTTTTTTTAACTAACGATTAAGTAACGATTTTATAAGTAGTCTTTTTGTCATTAACATTTTTCTATTCAGTCTGTTCAAGTAATTTAATTTGTAATATTGATTTTATTGAATGCCATGATGTTTTACTGCCATGATATTCATTTACTCCACTAGTTTGTTATAATTATTAATGCAAAATAAAATAATTTGATTTGTTTTAATTTTGCCTCCACGTTGCGTTTATTCAAGGAATTTGGTGATGCACAAGGCAACCGACTTAAATTCAAGTTCATTATCTACAGGCACTTACTTGCAACAAAACACTATGTAACTTGCATAATCTAAACGCGCATTTCTTAAAAGAGAATTGATAATATTCCACCAAGGCTTACTATCTATACGATATCTTTCATGGGGATTTATTGGGCATAAAATACTTACAAGAAAAGAATTTTTCATCTCTATGTGATTTCGTTTTAAAATTATCTATAAGTAAGCTTATCAGTATCGTAAAATAAAAAAAAATGTAAATAAAGCGAACGAATGGAGGCCTGAACAATATATAAATATAGAAGTATTTTGTCACAACACTTATTGTACAGTTGTTATATATTTTGTACTTTTGTGTAAAGCTAAAATTATGTTCCAACAATATTTGAAATGAAGTTTTTAGATTTTCGATTACTTTGTTCAGTTTTGTGAACATTGCCTCGGTGTGAACTTGAGTTAGGAACAAGGTTATGAACAAATCAATCTATATATTAAATATCTTTTTAAACTTGTACAGACACTAATTTTAAGCAATACTGTTATAAAACTAAACCTTCAAACATAAAAGTCCTTAAAATTTCCTGTAAAACACTGTTTGTTTCTAACTTCAGTCCGCACTTGGCGTTATTTCGACTGTATTCAGGCACTTCCTTGATTGTGTCTGCTACCATAATCTCCGTTTATTTTTTTACGTTGGTCGATTTGTATAGAACGTGTTAAGTTTTATTTTCCTTTGTAAGGGGCCACGTCAATTCCTCCCGCGGGCACCTACAGCTATCCGCATACTTATTGACCGTTAGGTAAGTGATAAATTAAATGTGTGATAATTATTATAAAGGTATTGCGCATTCGCAGCTGTTTCATTTGCTTCCGAAGCAAAAGGGAATTGACTGTCCCCATATCAATGTAAAATATCGTGAGCTGTAGAATAAATGCAAAGACAGCATGTGCGAGAGCGAATGCGGAAGAACGAGTGAGAGGCGAAGCGTGAACGATTAATTTAAGACTAGTTATAGTTAGGCAAAAACTGTGAAAACGCAGAACAGTGAAAAAAATCAGGTTTTTTCTTTCCTGCATCGAGGGATCAACAGTTTGCTTGTGATAATCGCAATAAGCGGAGTGTTAGTGTTTTGGACAAAATTGAATGTGGTTAGACTTTTTTTTGTAACTTCAGAACACGGGCGAGGTGATCCTCGAGGCGATTGTAGACAACGAATTGAGCTGTTGTTGTGCGCACGTGCTTTTGCCTCGACATTCCACATCTGACGCTGATTTGATATTGACAAGTTAACACAGAATCCCACCCTTTTATGACTTACAGTGCTGGTTTACACTGTTTCAATATTTTTTAACAAGATTCTAACCAAGAATCAATGCCAATATCCAACTCTGTGTTGATTTGTCATTGATATTAGTTTTGTACTTAAGATCATAGAGCGTGAGAAAATTGTCTTTAATATCTTAAGACGTGGGCTCAAAATTGAATGATCAGTAGCAGAGAGTAATTTGAAAATAATTGGAATGTATTAAATTTTGTATGGAAAATGTGCCATGATTGTGTCGAGGCATAGGCGCACGCGTCTCACGGGATGAGTTGTTGTTGAATCCAAAATATTTCCTATAATATAAATTTTTATATCTGATATTTTGTTTTTTATTTAATGTGCTAAACGTACCCAGTGACTGACGATCTATTTTACGGAAAATCAAATACTTTTTTCGTCGTTCGTAGAACGTCGAATACAGAAAATGTAGCCAATTATGAACTTACGTGAAATTATTTATGAACTTACACGTGAACTTCTATAGAACAAACGTTGTTTATAATGTTAGTACCTATAGTCCTGCGAGGTGGTTAGTATTTTACGAACAACTTGTATACCCTATAAGCAATTATACACAACCGGGACTTGATATAACTACCAAAAACAAGGACACAAAGAAAAATCCCTACTTGCCCGTGGACCACCTCTGGTCCACCTTTGTGGACCATGGAAAATTATAGTGATCCACCCAGGTAGACATAGGTGACCAACGGGAAGAAATAAAAGTGAGAAAAAAGCAGCTACCAGGCCAAGGCTTTATTTAATACACAAGTCCTTTATACCAGCGCGAAAATTGGTAAATATTTTTAAATTTGGTTAGGTAAGAGCGACGTCACACGCGCGTTGATGGTGCGTTGCGTCGTCGCAACCTCAAACCACGTCGCAACAAGGCTATGATTTCAACGTACCGACCACCACGACCACCACGAGCAATGCGGTGTTGCTACGTAACATTCCAGTAGCGTGATCATGGTCGACTAACCTGTGGCTAATCTGTTCTAGTCGTGAAAAACTAGATTTAGTTGGTCCGCCGTTCAAAAGTTATAAAGGGTGTTTGGTGTTTTAATGTCCACGTTGGAACAAGCTTATTCCAGCGGCACCATTTCTCAATCTCGAGAACCACAACACGTAGCTTATAGATCTGATTACACCAAAGAAATAGCTATTTAGTCTGTTCTAGTCGTAAAAAACTAGATTTAGTCGTTACGCCGTTTTGAAGTTATGCCCACACTGGAATAAGCCTATTCCGGCGGCACCATTTTTGAATCTCGAGAACCACAGCGAAATTTTAGAATTAGTCGGCCCTGTGTTTCGAAGATACAACCGATTTATTATTTCAAGGTTATTATTATACCTGTGTTAGTCTTGGAGTTTATGTACAAATTTTGCATAATGTACAGAATTTGTTTTTTTTTAATACTTGCTATTTGAAGGTTATAATAATGTTTAGTTTTTAATACAAGAAAATTAGTATAAAATATACAGTCATTTTTCCCTAATGACATAAGATTTTATCGATTGTCATGATATTTATTAGTGCATGTATGTCGTGTTGAGCTCCTGGCTTACACGAGATGAACGAGGCGCGTGGAGTACAGTCGCATACGACTATTTGATCAGAATAATTAAATAGTTAATGAATGACTTATCTAAAAAAATTGTTTATTCAGTAACATAATGTACAGAGAAAACTAAAGACTACTTATGCGATTTAATGTAAAAATAACACATGTACCTGAACTAGGAAATTCCTGTATTTCAGGTAAAAAGTACTACTAATTATAAATGTGGATACTATTAATATTATAAATACTTTTTAGGAGAATCTTATGAAATAAAATTAAACAATTAAATAATAAATTGCCAATAAAAAAATAAAAAAATAAATAAAAAAATGTACGCTTAAACAAGACAACATTTAATTTACGATAATAAATAAATTCTCTGTATCCTCATAGGACATATTTTGAAGAGCTTCTTGGAGAATTTTCTTTACCTTAAAGCAACAGAAATTATAAATGGAATATTTAGTATATTATGTAATATTTATATCTGAATAAAGGATGACTATTATAATTTATAGCGCAAGTCAACTACTAATTGGTGTTACGGTGAAATCTCTCTAAAAATTCAGTAGATATTTAAAATATTTATTTATTACACGCTCGGGAATAAGCTTATTCCAGCGTGGACAGTAGAACAGCTTAATAACTTTAAAACGGTGTAACGTCTAAATCTACTTTTTACGACTAGAACTGACTAAATCACGACTTTTTTTAGGGTAATCAGTTCTAAGCTAGGTGTTGTGGTTCTCGAGATTGAGAAATGGTGCCGATGGAATAAGCTTATTCCAGTGTGGATAGTAAAACATCCTTATAACTTTTGAACGGCGGACCGACTACATCTAGTTTTTTACGACTAGAACCGACGAAATAGCGACTTTTAATCTGGCTAGTCAAATTTCAAAAACTCGACCATGGTCACGCTGGAATAACGCATGGTCACGCCGGCAATTTGATAAACGCAAATGAAACCAAATAAATGTATTTTACTCTTTATTCATAAATAACCAAATCACATTTTAGAATGTGTATCACAATGACCATTACGACAGACGGTAACATATTATTTTGTATTTGCAGATAAAAAGTATTGTTGCAAAACTGCATATCGAAGAGCGAAAAAACTAAACTTAATTTTGCAGCATTTAGTAGAATGCAGTTTTGCGGTGTGCAAAAGATTTCCTTACATTTCGTTCTGCAATTGCACGCACTCGTGTAGAAACGATTTAATGCACCATCACCTTTAAAGACGTACATTTAAGGACTACAATGATTAGGGCGTACATTTTTGTTACCTATGTAAAACCGTACGTTTTCTGCGTATTTTGGTATACTTGGAAAATAAATTAAAAAAATATGTCGTGGCTACAAAATATCCTATACTGAAATGACCAGTATGACGATGTTTAGTGGTAGTAATATACTACCAAATTTATAAAATTATTTAAAAAAATAACATTTCTATTATGCATGTAGACAATGAAGAAACAACTTTACAATTTTCTAAAGTTCAAAAATTCTGAGAAATTCGAGTTTTGTGGTAACTGGCAAAATAACCTTATAATTAGTTAACCCGTTCATGGACAGGCATGATACCCCGTTTCGCTATAAGGATCTCAAAAACCTAACTACGGGGCTTACAGTGCTATTTCCAAGTGCTTTTTGTGTAGATGCCGCCTATTGCTTTTCTATAGAGATGTACAGAGAGGTTTTTCAATAGGGGCATAATAATTTTGTATTGGCTCCAAAGAATTGAACGCTGCAAACGTGCTTGCTCGCGGTGGTCATATGAACGAGATCCAATTCCATTCTTAAATATCACATGTGAATGTAATGTAACTGCACCTAGAATAAATTTCAGCTCGATATTTCAATTATTCTGTGTTTTATTGAAAAACGCGACATCAACACTACTGACAAAATTTTATTATTTATATTGAACATATTTTCTTGATTACGCGGTGGCACAAAAAATGTGACTGTTTTGTGCTGTTCATGAACGGGTTAAGGTAGGTACTCTTTTAACAGATTAGTTAAGTACAGTACTGTTAAATTTAGTTAATAAAATAACAAAATGGAACGGTACTGTAGTTATTGTACGCAATGAATTGTAATTTTCATGTAAATGCAATTTTTCAATCGCGTTAATTGTTAAAAATTTTGCATAATGAAAATGCGCCTTTTAAATATTTCTATTACCATGGAGCTTATACTTAATAGACGTTTATATACGGTCAAACGAAAACTAAACTAATTTATATTCAGCGTTGTTTAGACAGGAGATTTAAAGTTAGTTTAGAGCTTTTTCGTATCGATACATACGTTAGATTAGCTTTTTGCAGATTTTTCAAAGATTACTGCACATCCTTTTATACATGCAATTTATGGGTCAAGTATACGCAGCGGACTTATAGTGACCTACGTGTCCAGTTTATTAACGCCTTCAGGTTTCTGCTGGGGCTGCCGTGGCGCTGTAGTGCGTCAGGGATGTTCGCGAAGGCGTACACGGATGATTTTTGCGCTTAATATATATAATAACGGTCTTTAAAACCTAAAACATGCTCCCCTGAAATAATTTTCGAAATGGCGCTTTCGCCCTTTCTACAAAACACCGACGGCATGGAAGAAACTGGGGGTCTACTCTCGATCTCCGTCCAACATCCGTCCGAAACAATGACTGCCAAATAAGCAATTTGATGATTTGATGCTTCATACTTGATACTTGTCTTTTAATTTTGTCGAATATTACTTATTTGACAGTATTTGTTTCGGACGCTTCGGACGCGTTAGCGCCTCTGGTCTGAATTAAGTTTAGTTCGCATCTAGCCCTATCGACGCCATTACCTACTTACATGGTATATTGCGACCTTCAAAAAGAGAGACAATTGCTAAAATTAAGGAAAAGCTATATACAGGCTACCCAGTAGAACTATTATATAGTCCAAAAATACTACTAACTATGCTCCGTGCACCTGCAACCGCTCCAATGGAGACGTTACGCGCTTCACTACAAGAAAACAGACTGGTCCATTATGTTCGCGCATCACCTCTGCTCCACAGTTTTCATTTGAACGTTGAGCGAACAAGTCGTCCCCAGAAATAGTAGCTAGAGTGCGGCAAACATTTTAATTGATTATAGTGTTCACGAATTAAATATTTCTACTAACTTAAAAAACTCGAAAACGTTTTGCTTGCGTCCAGGAACACACTGCGCTCCGCTTTGTGTTCGCGTAAAAACCGCCAATGTTGCATGGGAACGTATCCACTAACGGAGCAGTTGCAGGTGCGCGGAGCACAGTCGTTGCGCGAACGTAATGGATACCCACCTTTATGATTACATTTCAAATCTCAACTGTCCCCATTCAACGGTGTCATAAAGGTTACCTCAACGCCATTATGAAAATCAACCCTCACAGTTTTGAGGTGATAATTAAGGAACACTTCTTACAGTGAAATATGTTATTTAAAATCGTACACTATGTTAAAGATAAACTAAACCCCAAGAACTGGCAATAATGTCCAAGCAAATTATAATAATAATCCTATATTATACCCTTGTTTCAGTCCAAGTATTCCTTACAATCTTGTCCATACCGTAGAGAGGGCGCGTCTAACTTGTCTCACCTGACAAGTTAGTGGAACCTTTGTAAAATTTTTAAGAACTAATTACTTCAAATGACTACACGAGTATTGGCGACAATATGCATACGTTTTGAGACTTTCGTGGTTATTCACTAATTACAGGTTTCTTTGCACGGTATGATTAATTTTTATTTTACCGGCACGGTTACACGGTCCATGCTGCCATCCTTATCATAAATAACTAATCGAAATTTTTAGAGAAATTGAGTTACTTTGATATGTTTATTAGGGATCAACGACCCGAAATCTACAATCCCCACTAATCGGTAATTTTATATCTTATTCAGTTCCAGTTTTATTGTTGAAGAAAATCAGCATAATCAGCATTTTTTTTAATTACGAGCAAGTGTGATGAAAAATAATAAACAGAATAAGAATATTTGCGTTTTTCATAAGACTTTTTTACTCTTTATTTATTAAGAGGCTTTGACCGTTGTTGAACATTTCATGTCGTGACAAGTTTCATGTAATCTTAAGTTCATCGTAAAATAGTAAATTAGTTCTCTAAAATTTCGCTACTGGATAGAGTTCTTATCCAATTTGTGAGCCATTTTTGTGACTTTGTTAAAAAAATCTCACGTCTTGTCTTCTTAAACCGTCCATAATCTAAGTCTACAATTATTTTAATCAAATACGATTCTACGATTTTTTAAGTTTAAGGCGTAGTAGACACAGAGCGAGCATAAATCCGATCCATACTAGAGTAACGATGAAGCCGGTGTAAACCGATGAATCTGTGATCCCATGACCCTTTTCCATGATGTCCCGCAACGACTTCGAAGGTATGGTAAAGGGAAGAGTTAACGCTATGGCGCGGAGTACGGTTGACATTGCTTCTAGTGGCCAGAGGATACCTGGAATTATAACAATAGAAATTAAATAGATGAACCAGACAATCATACCAATTTAAGTACCCAACGGCGTATTTACACAAGGTCGATTACCGCCTTCAGTAGACTAGCCTTTCCGACCGAGGCACAGTCGACTCTTTGTTTTACCCTGAGTCGACCGCCAGTTCTTCCGCAAGCGAATTCGATTGACGTAGACAGCGCAGTAGACTCGCCGTTTACCCTGAGTCGACTGCCGCCGCGTTGGAACTTGTTAGGCCGGCCGTTTCTTGCCGTAGCCGATGGAGTCGCCTGACAGTCAAATCGACTATTCTTCGATTTTTTAGCATTAGACAGAAGGAAATTTTGGAATATTTTTACATATTTAATACATTTTAAAGACTTACACTTTAAAAAAACTTAAAGAAACAGTGTTTCCAAGCATTAAACGGAAACGTTTTATAAAATAATACTATCACGTAATTCTTAACTGTCATTTGTAAACAATTCGGACGATGTTTTCCTTAAGTGCATTTTGTTGACAGGAGAAAAAGGTTTTACGATAACTGCTTCTTTGTTTACATTTTGCTAATCCTAAAAAAAGAAGTACAGGTGATGACTCGGTCGACTGCAGCTGCGAACTACGGCCATCAAACGACTCAATGTTTACACTGGGTAGGTTGCCACCTTCGGCGGGCAAGCGAAGCCGACCAATCGACCTAGTGTAAGCGCGTCATTAGTTCCAGTTACTCATATCAGCAGGGTTAGCACGACTGGGCGAGACTAGCGCGACATAATTAAGACATATATCTAGCGACATACAGCGCGATATATCCTGCAATTCTCAACACAAAGATCTCGCGCTTTTTGTCGTTCTCGTGCAAGTCGCATATTGTTGTGCTAGCCCTGAACTACAACAACTTTGTGAAGTAATTTCACAAAATAATTGTATACCAATTCAATAAAAATTTAATTACAGTGAATAGAGAAGTAACATTTCTAGCCAGGACTAGTAGTCAAAGTTACCTAACTGACGAAATACTTTCATAGATTTCTCATAGATGGCGCTACTGGTTAAAAGACGTTGAAAACCAAATACAAAGATCCGACAACAAGCATATAGAAAAATTCGTAAGGTCCGCTGGTTCGTTCCGTTGATTAGTTGGCATGGCATCTGGCACGGTTTGCTAGAAGACGTCGGTTCGAATCCGGCCGGATCAAAGGATTATTTTAAGTGTTCGATATTTGTATTAATAATTTTAACAACAGCTTCTCCAGGATCAATATCCAAAACACAGAGATGAAACTAAATTGTCAAAGATCGTTATTCTGATGAGTTTATTGGAGACCATGAAGGTTGTCAATTTAAGTACAAGATATTTGGAGCTTTTAAATATATTATACCGAAAAATATCTAAACTTACCGCACAGTAAAATCATAGGATAAAAGCTGCCAGTAGAAACAAAGAATGCCAACACGTAGCTATTACAATAGATGGAGAGGAAGAAGCCATAGCACATCCCGCTAATGCCTTGCAAGAAGATCAGTATGCCGCACGTAATCAGGGAACCGCGAGTGTAGAGGCCGTATCCGCCGTAGGCTAGTGCTGTCATTTCCAGAGTCTGTTGAATTGTATAAATAATTAAAAAGACAGGAAGACAATACATTAATTTATTTACCACAAATGAAATTTCTTTTAATTTTCAAATTTTAGTAAATTCGTTAATTCGTCGTTTTCGTTTAAAAAAAAAATTGTAGTCGATAGAAAAAAAAACGATAAAAGAAACGATTCAAACGAAAAACATAAACAAATAATTACAAAACAAAAACAAAGGTCAGCACATAGCAGGTGTTGTCGATACGCTATAATATAAAGTTGAGAAATGGGATCCAACCCTTAGCGATGATGCATATGACGAACCTGCAGCAATATAACAGCCGTCTGCAACACGATGTGGACGTAGAGCATCTCCTTGGCCTTAACACCGGCGACGGCGCTGCGCTCCCACACTCCCTCCAGCCGGTCGGTGATCAACAGATTAGAGGTCACGATTGCGGGTAGGAAGAATATGATTCTACAAATAAATATTTCATATATTTTTGTGGGCACACCACCACACACAACACAAAGAATTTTCTACTTTAATATACACGTCATTTAAATAGGATTTTATTGTGGCTGAAGTTCATCGGGATAGAGCTTCTGCCGATCAGAAATAGCTTAAAGCCCACGCTACACGTGCGAAATAGATTTCATTTCGGCAGTCCAAGTCAAAGTGAAACGTATAGTCTTTCTCGCTTTTATTTCAAGGATACTATTTTTTTCTAACCAACCTTTCATCTAAGCGCATTGCCAAATCAACTAATTCTGCGAAATTGGCCGTCAAAAAAAAAATATCATAGAGTAAGTAAGTCTAGTAAATTACAAAAAAAACCGACCATAAAAGTATGTGTAATTACATCTATTTGCCAAGTTTTATTGAAATCGGTTAACGGAGAGTTGGTGAAATATATTAAACCGGATTCATCTCCTAATTTGCCACCCTTAGATGCGGAATATTTTCTTCAAGTTTGAATTTGACCACTACCGAGGTACCCCCTTTATAACAAAAAAAGAATTATCGAAATCGGGTCACAAATGTCGCAGTAATATTACAAGCAATATTACGTAACATACATGCATAAAAAATACAGTGGAACTGAGAACCTCTTCCTTTTTTTAAAGTCGGTTAATTATGTAGTAAACAACTACCAAAACGGCGCAATCATTGTGCCTCTGCTTTACAGTGAAATATTTATTTATGTGGTACAGATACAAGACCAGATACAGACCACGATATTTTCTGTATGTAAATGTATTCAGCCTGAACCCTATGAGATAGGGTTAGTTGCTACAACTACCAGGGCTCCGTGACTCGCTCAAGGTTACGCGATAAGTGCCTACTGCTGATTGTACCGACGTCGGCACGAGTGCTTATACAAGTCTTTCATTTATGAGCATGCGGTTCCCCACGACTGCACTTGGCGGAAAACGTTAGTTTCACCTTTCTGAGCGCTTCTTAGGTTCTTTTTTCCTCGTAGGACCGCCTGGTGTCACTAGCCAGATTCAGTAACTTTAGCTATTATAGCGTAGGTATTTTCGATTTTGTATAAGAGTGATGTACCTGTTTCGTAGGTATCTATTAAGGAATATTTTTTTTTTACAATTACTTACGTTATCATAACTCCAGGCGCCATATAGCTAACCATTTCGTTTTTCGTATCTCCGTAGACAGGTTCCATGAAGTGAACTGGGATCTGAATCGCAGAAGAAAGAATATTACTTGAGGTTACTGGTAAATCTTAAGAATGTATTAAGAATTTCATATATAGTCTAACGTACGTACGCTTACGCTTTGTTTATTGCGTCATTGGGAAATAATAAGGTACTAACTTAGTACAATCAAGACAAGTAGGGCAACTATCTATCAATATTTTCCTGTGTTAAATTTATAATTTGTTATAATTATTTCTACAAAGATCGAACACCTTACAAAAAATTCTTTCGATCCGGTTGGATTCGAACCAACGACTTCTATCAAACCGTGTCAGGGAGTTTACTCCGTCCTCATTCCGACATTCGTCCGTAATAATTACTGTGAAATAAGTAATACTCGACAGAATTAAAACACGCATGATGCGGATGAAGCTTCATAATTGACATTGCGACTGTGAACTGGCAACCTTTACAGGATGAAGAAAAAGTCAGTTATATGGCATCTGGTATGGCATGTGTAATAAAAATGTGTAAAAAAAAAAACGTATTTTTATTTGATAAACCAATAGGGCTAGCACAATAGGGCGCGACTTGCGCAAGAGCGACATATCATCATTCATCATTTTTTTATTTTCTCGGATAAATTACATCCATGATTACAAGTACAAAACTAAACTAACTTTAGAGCGCGTGATTTCTATGCGAGAATAGCGGTATCTCGCGCTTTATGTCGCTCTCGCTCAAGTCGCGCCTTATCGTGCTAGCCATACAGATGCTATATAAATGACACAAACAATTTTTTTCTTCAGTCTGTTAAGTTGTCAAAATTTAGATAGTACCGATTGCGAGTTCACAGTCGATTGTCTTTTTTTTGTTTTGATTTGGTCGAGTATTACTTATTTGACAGTAATTGTTTGACGGATGTCAGAACGAGAACGGGAGGAGACTTTTTTGCATCCTCTAAGGAGTAGACCCCATAGATATATCTATGGTAGACCCCGAGACGCTATGTCAACTAAGCCACGGAACGAACCAGCGGACCTTACGAATTTTTCTATGTGCTGATGTTTGTTTTGGTTTTACAACTATTTTCCATAGCGTCAACTGTGAGAAATCTATTTCTTCATTCAACTTTACAGCTACCAGCAGCTGACTGATATGTCGCTTTAATAATTGCAATTAAGTTTATTGAGACGTTTCACTACCATGATATTCAATTATTTTTTGGAAAATTACTCCACTAGTTTGTTATAATTATTATTATAAACGGACCAAAGGATTTTTTCTGAGTGTTCGACCTTTGTAAATTACTCCACTAGTTTGTTATAATTATTATTATAAACGGACCAAAGGATTTTTTCTGAGTGTTCGACCTTTGTAAATTACTCCACTAGTTTGTTATAATTATTAATAACAAACTAGTGGAGTAATTTCACAAAAAATAATTGAATATCGTGGGGGTGAAACATTCTGACATAAGCTTAATTTTTATAAAATTGATTGATTTATAAATGAATCATTATTTATACACAATCTCGATTTTCATTTCTATTTTATGATCATACTTTTTTTGTTTTATAATATCAAATGACGGGACGAAGAATTCGTGCACCTGAAGGCAAGCTACACGCCTGTCCATAACAGTTGCAGTGTACCACTCAGTGCTTTAAATCGCAAAGATCTGAGGGGCACTGCCACTGCGCCCGTCACCCTGAGACATAAGTTGACAAGTTCCATGTGCCTGTTAATTCCTTATTCCCATAATCTAGATGCTTATCCACGATACTGCTATAAAAATATCCATATAAGTACTGGTTACTACAAGGTTATTTCAGTAGAACACTGGATTTCTGTGATAATACTTGACTTATTTTCAATTTATGTTTACTACACAACAGTGCACCTACCATGATATTACACGAATATTGACGTCATGGGGTTACCCATCTTAAGGTGCAAAAGTAAGAAACAAAACTATTTTTCCGCATTTGAAACCGGTTGGTTGGTCAGTTGGTGGTCGGACCTGTAAAGGGCCCAAAACGTCGGTTTGTTTGAAAAAACAAATATACGCGATTTAAATCCGGAAAAATAGTTTCATTTCTTATGTGTAACAATCGCGAAAACCTAAGAACTCGATGTGCAAAAGTATTTTTTTTAATTATTATTTTTTAATGAAGTCTTCATTATGTAACTTATTGTTGTTCTTGGTATAATATATATACTGTTCATATATGTATATAAATATGCACCATTTCTACGGATACTTAGAAAAATATAAAAATAAACGATAATACATACATACCTATTTATTTATAAGTACATAGTTAGATTATTGTATTTGGTTAGTATATTTTTACCTTGTGATGATTTTACAATGTGCAAAAGCGGGGACTGTCTGAAACTGCACACAGGAGTGAATATACAATATTATATAATATTATACATATTATTTATATACAAATGTTTAAGAGTATAATAAATAATGAAATAATGGAGGTAAACGAATAGGAATTGATACTTTAACAATAAAATGGATAGAATCATTGACTTACAATTACATGGACGTCGGGTCCGCGCCAAAAAGTGTTCGAACTTATAGGGCGTTCAAATCGTATACAGAGCATCATTCACGCTTTAGTCTTCGTTTATTAGACTGACAGCGAAGCAAACAAAATTAGACAGTACTGCGATGACATTACAATTTAAATTCAACGTTTTAGCTTTTTCATATTCCTTTGCATGTACACTACGTTTAAATAGGTTGACTTGGGACATTTTTTTCGTGATTTGTGTATTAGACCCGTCGTCCATTTATTTGTAAGTCAATGGATAGAATAGTATTTTTTTAATCTATACAGGATTATTTGTAACATATTAACAACCTCCCAGAACTATATTATCGTCATAAATAACAACTTTTTCATCTCACTAGCTCGGAAAGGCTTTCTTTCTCATTAGAAATCTGTGCGCAAAAGCGTTTTTTACACGCCAGCGTGGAAAAGCTTTTTGAAATTCGAACTTGACGATGGACTGTGGTGTGGTGCGCCAAACTTTTCCTAACGATGAAAAAAAAAATTGAATGACACGTTCAACTACGCGATTTGTCGTACATTACTTATCTAAGTAATATAAATTCGTTGGTATATTTTATTCTTATTACGGTTGACTATAAACTGACATTGTTTACTTGTATTTATTAAATTATTTTAATTCGTGAAAAAACTAAAATATTTTCAATAATAACACAAAATAAAAAATTGCTTGTAGCAAGAATAAAAATGGATGAGGTGTAAATTCAGAACGCATTCCAAGATACGCTTTTTCTTTTATTAATAAAACAGATATTTTAAACTGTTATTCTTTCATCTACCATTTTCCTCGCTATAGTGAGGTGAAAAGTTGTGTGTTACGCTCGGCAGCAAAGTTGTTTTGCGTCTCGTGCCTTGAAACCCTTGAAATCTTAGCTTCCTTCGCTTGCTCAGGTTTCAATATAATCACTCGCGTCAAACAACAACTTTGCAGCCTTGCTTACCAAATAACTATTGTTATTTTTAAAAAAGATAATAAAGTTACCATAAACAAACTTTTCAGTTCTTGGTTTCTTTCTGCAGATAAAAACCCTTAAAAGTTAAAAAAATATATTTTATATCGGTGTAATTCATTATAGAAAGTAAAGAAAATCAAAATCTTGCTTATTTATGTTTATATTTATGAAAATCGAATTTTGTTTTTATGTTTTCTTATTAAACTGTTTGAACTTTCTAATTACCATATCCACGGCTACGGTAATTAGATCTAAATACCGTTTCCATAAAATATTTGTGTCTTAATAATTCGAAAACTACTTTGTCTATTCCAATGCCATTTAGACATGTTGATAGATTAGCATAAAGCTATTCATATTTCAATGTTATTGGGTATAATAATAAACGAGAAAAAACAGTGGCTACGGTAATTAGGCCGAGAACACCGAAATGGCTACGGTAATTAGGCTGAGAACACCGAATGTGAGAATAGCCGTGTACTATCTGACACTTTTTAGATCTATATTTTCAGCAATGCCTCCGGCGTGCTGTCATTTATAACATGATTTGGGTGGTAGGCACTTTCGTTTGCTACCCTATGGAGTTATCACCATTTAGGGCGATCTATTTAAATGTACTATTTAAATATATTATAATAATGGGATCTGTAAAGGGCCCGAAAAGTTGATTAGTTTGAAAAAACAAACAAACGCGACTTAAATACGAAAAAATAGTTTCATTTCCTATGTGTAACAATCGAAAAATTCTAAGAACTCGATATTTAAATAGTTTTTTGTACAACAGTACAATCTTACTTACTGCGTCTGTGGCCGAACTGTCACCATGCTGGACTGCCACGCAGAGGTTCCGTGCTCGTTTATATAGCATATATTTATTTATCTCGTGAGTTTGGGCGTAATTTGTGCTTGTCTATGCGTGTGTCCATTGCACCCGCGATACAGGGTTTCCCTAGTGCGGAGCTATGAGGTATAAACTCACTAGAGAAATAAATGTAGGTTTTGCAAATATTTCCCCCGGCAGGGGAATCGAAACCGGAACCTCTGCGTGGCAGTCCAGCGTGCAAACCGTTCGGCCATGGAGACGGTGAAAAAAAGGCAATCAAGTTATTCGTCAAAGCATTTAAGGTTACCCTTCATGTCCCACTAACGAAATTTGTGAATTTAAAATTTTTCTCTCTCCAGAGGGTTTAATTACGTATACTACAGCGGTAGCACCACATAACACGTAAGATTTCAAAAAGGTGTAATAGAGAAAAGAACTATACAACTGGATCTGGTCATTGAAAGTACAAGATTACCTGTACAAGATTTTCATTTCTTTCACACGCCCTCATGGTTCGTCTAGTGAAGCTCTCGTAGGCTTTAAGGAACTGCGACTTGAGGAAGTAGGAGATCTGATGGTCTGTAATATAACATTAATTTCAGGGCTGTTGGTGAGATGATTGTTAAATAATAGAGTACTAAAACGAGGGCGCCACTGGGTATAGTAAACAACAAGCTCCGCATATAAATTTCAATTATAAATAGTAATTTGTATTTTTCTGCATAGAAAGGGCTACAAATATAGTTCTAACTGTGTAAATATTTAGTGCAAGTGTTTGTGGAAAGATTAAACGGCTACTTTGCTCTGTTTTGTACTATTTCATAAACAATACTTATCCTGCGATTTACTGTGCAAATTGGTGCAAACGGATACTGTAACCCAAGGATATCCAATAGCAGTGAGTACTTTAACCATATCTCACATATATAACCCAAGAAACATAAGAAATAGTGAAATTTACGCAAAGATTGAAATTGTAGGTGACCTAAAATGTGACTTATTTATTTAAAATTGTAATAGTCAATCAAGATAATATTATTAGACATTTGCATGCTATCGGATATGCGAAACATGTTTGTACTGGTTTTCCTTTTTTTCCTACAACTTTTATACCATGTTTGAAGCAAATAAACAATTTGAATTTGAATTTGAATTTGAATTTGAATTTGAATTTGTATTTGAATTTGAATTTGAATGTGAATTTGAATTTGAATTTGAATTTGAATTTGAATTTGAATTTGAAT